TGCTCTTCCGCCTCAGGCAGCAAAAGGCCTTGGGTCAGCCCCCTTTCCTGTTCCCCTTTCTTACCATTTAATTCTGAGGTCCAAGACCACATCCCAAGCAGCAATCCGTACGATGTGGCACATTTCTGCCTTCCAAGGCTAGATGGCGCTATGTGCTCGAGACAGTTCCATGAACTTAACCACAATTTCCCAAATATTTCACCTCTATCTCAGTTCCTCCTTCCCACAATCTGACCTCCAAAATGCTTTCAGTACTGCCAGAGTCTTTGCCCCTGGGGCCTCCCTCCTGACCACCAAAATTTGAAGAGGGTTTCTGCTGGATCGGCAGACAATGCATAAAATGTTGCCTTGGTCTGCATAAGGCTACCACCCATCTAGAATGTTTACTGGCTGGTCATATTTTTGGAAACTTTATCCCATGTTAACATTTTCCCCCAAAAGTTGCTATCATTTCAGAGAATAGTGTGAGTGAATAGTCACTTACAACAACAGGAGTTGACAACTTTCTTTGGCCCGTGGGCATATTTGGATTTTTGAAGAAGTGTCATGGACACCACTTCTTCTTCTCACGTCTCTAGCCCAGATCAGCCCATTCCCCAGAAAAGCAGAAAGAGGGAGCATACAAATAAACATTTTGTTTTTCCAAGCGATGTAGGTAGAAGTTTGGTCTGCTAGATCATCAGATCCTTGAAAACCACAGAGCTGAAAGAGGAAGTGGGAAAGAGTGTCACACTTCCAACTTCCTCCTTTGGTTCTATGTGCTTTTCAAGGCAGAAAAACGTAATCACACTCAAGGCCAAGGGGTCAATAAGGAGGGAGGGAGCTTGGGCTTGCCGATCAGAAGGTTTGAATCCCCACGACGACGTAAGCTCCCCTTGCTCTGTCCCAGCTCCTGTCAACCTAGCAGTTCGAAAGCACACAGTGCAAGTAGATAAATAGGTACTGCTTCAGCGGGAAGGTAAACGATGTTTCCATGCACTGCTCTGGTTTCGGTGTTCCGTTGCACCAGAAGAGACTTAGTCATGCTGGCCACATGACCAAGAAAAACTGTCTGTGGACAAACGCCAGCTCCCTCGGCCTGTAAAGCAAGATGAGCCCCGCAACCCCAGAGTTGTCTGCGACTGGACTTAACTGTCAGGGGTCCTTTACCTTTACCTTTTTTATACCAGGTAGGTATGAAAACCTGGAGAGCCTCTGTCAGTCAGTGTAGACCAGTGTTTCAGCTGCTGTTGGACAACAAATCCCATCACCCCTAGCTAGCAGGACCAGTGGTCAGGGATGATGGGAACTGTAGTTCACAAACATCTGGAGACCCACTGGTGTAGACAATGCTAAGGAATGTGAACCAATTGGTGGACCAATTGGTTTGACTCACTGTAGGGCATCTTCTTGTGCTCCGATGTTCACCAACACGCTAGCGAGAAAAGCAAATCAGCAAATGTCTGCCACGGTTTCAGAGTGTGATTAATAAGGCAAAGCCCTGGCGATGGTGGCGGTGGTGGGAACGAGCCCTCTGATTCCAGAAATGCCACGTGCCGGGGCCACTGGGGGTTAGTTTGCTTTCAAAATGTCTAATTCTGTTTAGGTTCATGCTCAAACACTCTCAAGTGCTGTCGCATGGTGTGTTTTCGAGAGGGAGGAAAAAAAACACTTATTTTTACAAATGCTCAAACTTTCCTGCCACAAATTATTCTTGGCTGGTTTACAAGCAGAACGGCTGCCTGTAGTCCTCTCTCTCTCTCCACCCCCCCCCTTTTTAAGGAATTAAAAAAAACAGAGAGAGAGGTGGCTTAAGAGGTATTTCATTTGCCTGAGGTTCTCCCTTCCATCATAACGATGCAACAAGAGTTCAAGAGTTCTTGCCTGCCTCCCTCCATATAAGGCAAAATGGCTTCCAGTCACTTGGAGTCAAAAGCAAGGGATGGGCACAGAATTCATACAAATACACAAACCAAATCAGGCCAATTCGTAACAACCTGTAGATAATTTGTAGACCCATGCAATAAACAAGTAGTACCCATTTCTAATCAATAACCAAATGGAATGGGGTCCTTTTTCTCTACTATTCAAAGGACACCCTGGTCCTGTGGAAGGGAATATTAAGTAGAATCAAAGAAGCCTCTTGAAGGAATGAATGGCAATTATGAATGAGTATTTCTCACACAGAAAGGAGTTTCTGCACAATTCCTTCCATTAGGTAAAGGTAAAGGTACCCCTAACCGTTAGGTCCAATCGCGGACGACTCTGGGGTTGCGCGCTCATCTCACTCTATAGGTCGAGGGAGCCGGCGTTTGTCCACAGACACCTTCCGGGTCATGTGGCCAGCATGACTAAGCTGCTTCTGGGGAACCAGAGCAGCGCACAGAAATGCTGTTTACCTTCCCGCTGCAGTGGTACCTATTTATCTACTTGCACTTTGATGTGCTTTCAAACTGCTAGGTGGGTAGGAGCTGGGACAGAGCAACAGGAACTCACCCTGTCGCGGGGATTCAAACCACCAACCTTCTGTTCGGCAAGCCCTAGGCTCTATGGTTTAGACCACAGCGCCAACCACGTCCCACTAGTCGAATTAGACTAGCCCAATTTAAGAAAACCAAGACAAAGGTTTTCATGAAAATTCCATTGGTATTTTAGTGCACCTTTCTCCGAATAACATACACAGTTTTGCACGTAAACTTGCTTGATCTACACCCCAAACACAATGCAAGTCTACACATTATATCACTGATGTACACATTTCCATGCATACTTTTCTTATGTATACATGCATTTCTTTATACTTTTTAGTTTTGCTTGAATTAATGAGTCACAAAATTCAGAGAAATGCAAATTTCTCAGTATAGTTGCATTTTGGTTCACTTATCGTTTCAAGAAATGCAAATGAAGCAGAGTCACATTAAAACGTTGAGTGAACTGAATTTATCCCCCATGTCTATATTTTCTGGCACTGTCAGACTGTTCTCTCTCTTCTGCCTTTCCCCTCTGCTCCTCTTCCCTTTGATTTCTTTGTCTTTTTCATTCAAAAGCCTGATTTACTTTTTCATTACTAGGAGCCTCCACCCGTGCTGGCTCCACCTGCCAACTCCTCACTCCTTTCCCCCCATCCCCTTCCTTTATACCTGACCAACCTGTCCATCCCTCACCCACTCGATCTCCCCCAGCTTGTCCCTCACAGTTCACCCCCAAACACCTGCCTTTCACAGCTTGTTACAGGCTTAATGGAGGGGTGAATCATAGAATTGTAGAGTTGGGACCCAAATAGTCACCTAGTCCAACTCCCTGTATTGCAGGAATCACAACTAAAGAATCCCTGACAGGTGGCTATCCAATCTCTGCTTCAATGAAAGAGTCCACAACCTTCTGAGGCTGTCCGTTCCATTGCCCAACAGCTCTTATTGTCAGAACATTCTTCCTAAAGTTTAGCTGGTGGAGTTTAGTCAGTTTCCCAAAATGCTCTCTGAAGGACCTCCCACTCTCCTTTAAATGTCACTCCAGTGTCACTCTACGTTCCTTTGAATGTCACTCCTTTCTCAGCAGCTCACCTGAGTTGCCCACAACCTGCACTGCTTACTCTCTTGCCTGCCAGCTGGCCTGTCATTGCACTGCAATTTGTATAGCCACCTACTGGCAGCCATGCAAACTGCAGCGTGATGACAAATTTTCTTATTATTATATAGTAGAGATATATTGATGGAAGCCACTTGAAGACATAATATTTGTCTAAAAAACAGGATGGATGTAAACAGTCAGGGATGGACGGCGGCTTCCTATTGTATAGAAAAAGGTGTATTGCAGGGATGGAGAACCATTTTCAGCTTGAGGGCTGCATTACCTTCTAAGTCACTTTCTAGGGGCCATATCTCAGTTGTGTGCAGGGCCAGGGGCAAAAGTAAGCCAAGCTATTAATGTAAATTTTACCATTGTACAACAGGCTAGTTTCTACAGACATTCCTCCCTGTTCACCATCCAGGCACGCAAGGGGCATTATCAGAGTTTAAGGACATGTTCCAGCCAGGCAAAATCACCCAAGGTGGGTACAAAGCACAGGTTGTATGGGGTGTGTGACCTGGGGAGAGTTTCAAGGGCAAGATAGAGAAGCCTCTGTATATCAAATTTCCCCACTTGCAATGCATTGCATAATAAAAATGTGCCAAACCTGCATCAGTTATGTCTTTCCCTTGTGAAGCAGTAAGCCTGAATTTGTGTAGAGGAAGCGGGGAGGGGCAACTGGAGAGGGAAGACTCTGCAGAATGTGCATAATTTGAGGGACTGGACTTGTAGACCACTGTGGGTGGTTTCACCTGGCCTGGCTTGTTTGGCTAACTCATGATGGATTGTCTCGTGATGTCGAGAAACAGTGGGAGGCTCTGGAATTGTAACATTTCTTTAAAGAGCAGGTTAAAGCCAGGAGGAACTTCAAAAGAGACACAGGAAACAGAAAGAGCCCAGAAGTTCAGCAAGCCCTGAAATAGATCCCATCCTCCCATTGACTTGCCTGGTTATGACGAGGCACTCCCAAAGACAAAGGAGTAATCAAGACCAAAAGAAGATGCTGAGCTATAAATTAGGAAGCTCGCCTTTCCCAGACTCAGGGATCCTCCCCCTCTCAGATACACAAACAGGAGATTTGGATCTCTAGGAGCCAGCTGCATGCCATATTGGAAACGTTGCTTTTTTTTCAGTTGTGTCTTATGTAATTGCTACAACTGCACAATCTCTTACATTTAAGGTTCCCAGCTGGCCTCCCATGTAGACACTGACCAGCTATAGCAAGGATGAACACATCACATGCCTCCCGTTCTTCGTAGGGAAGGGATGTTACTCAGTGGCAGGGCACTTGCTTTGCATGCAGAAGTTCCTGGATTCAGATCCCGGTGTTTCCAGGTAGGTCAGGGAAAGATCCTTGGAGATCCTCTCCCAGATAGCATAGACAATGCCACACTAGGTGGACCAATGGTCTTGTTCAATATAAGGCAATTTCCTATGCTCTGATATGGAAAGGGGATGCAGCTCAGTGGTAGTGCACTTGCTTTGCATGCAGAAGATCCTGGGTTCAATCCCTGCCATCTCAAGAAGAGGCCAAGAAAGGCTTCTGTCTGAAACACTAATTTACTCCGGGATCACGACTCACTAGGGCTGCTCTTTAGGAAGCTGTCAGCTGTGCATGAATGTGGTCATGTACCCCAAATGAGTGCTTGGACACTCGAGTGCACTACCACAACTGGCACCAGTGCTTGATGTCCTAAGGGCACTGCCAGGGCCACACCATTCTGGCAGGTCCACAGCTGATGCCTGCCTTAACCCCATCCTTAAGGTTTCCCCACCCACCAACCCCTGGTCCAGCACTCTGAATAATCTGGTTTCCAGCAATGCCCCACAATCTAGTGATGCTTTGAGGCACTGAGCTATATCCAGCTAAGCTCTACTCAAAGTAGATGCCTTGGAAGGGGGAGCACTTACGTTAACCATATCCACTAATTCCAATGGATCTACTCTGAGCAGGACTGACATTGGCTACAACCCAATGGGTTGTTGATGCTATTAATATCACCATCATTACATGCATGCTCTTTATAGAATAGTTGAATCCCTGCATATAATTTGCAAACTCGGTAGATGCAGTTTTGTACACCTTACCTGGCCGAAGAACTGCATTGCAAAATTCAGGGTGGTGCGAATCGCAATGGCTAGCTGCATTTTGGTTTGTGCGGATTAGGTACCGTATGTTCATTTTTAAATGTGGTGCGAACCAAATTTCTAGAACGGGGCCTCAGCATGGGGTTACATTTCCTCTCCCCTCATGCTGTGGTCCTGATCCTTAGCCTAGGCTCCCACGCCTGCTATTTAACAAAGAACAATACCAAGTATGGCAATTGCTAATTATGTGTCATGTTAATATTAGTTTGGCCCCATGAGGGCCAGAAACATGACTCCATGTACATGTTTTAAATAAAAGCTGAGATGGTCAAAAGAAGCATTTGGTAGTATTACATGGGCTGCCTCTTTTCTGCTGCAACAGAACTACTGTGTGCAGACATCTCTGGTGATGGGCTGGGCGCAGTGGCAGGGGATGTGGTATACGAGACAGCCGCAAAGTTATGTAGGCAGAACTTGAGCCTTTTTGACTGGAAATCCCTGCATCAGTTGTATGCAAGGGGGGTGAGCAGGGTTGGACTGACCTCTGCTTGTCTCCACTTGAGGAAGGGGAGGAGGGTTGGGCAGCTGAATTTTGGAGGTGTTTCCTGGGCATTCAGCCACCAAGACCCCCCTGGGGAGCTGTAACTCCAGCTCGGCCTGCGTCCTGCTGTCAGGCCCAGTGCCCGGAGCTTGTTATTACAGGTGCCGCGTCTGCTTTCACCCCCACCCTCTCACTTGTCCCTGTCCCTATGGTGGTGCCCCCTTTCTCTGCTCTCTGGCAGGCCCCTCCATCCTCTGCAAAACCCCACTCGGAGGGGAGGAACGCCCCTACTGCCACCACCATGGTTCTCGCAGCCAGCAACAGAGGGTTTCTCTTTCCCTCCCGGGGATACAGGGTGACGGCGAGGGGATCAAATCTGACCTCCTCTGGGGAGACTACAAATCCCCCCTCCCCATCCACACCAACAGTGACTTCTGCAATTATTTTAGCTCTTTGCTCTGTCTTCCAAAGCCTTCAGATGTGACATTTGCCTTTCGTGGGCACATGCACAATCTATTCCATGGCAGTATAGATGACGTCAAAACTGACCATCCCGATTTTTTTTTAAAAAAAATAGTATTCCCAGGAAAATCCATGGTTCAGGGAGCCAACAAGAGTTTTGGGGTCACTTCCTGACAAATTCACATGGACTGGACGACTTTGGGGTCTGTGAGTCACATGTATGCACCCATGGGTTGCATACACCCATAGATGCACTCTCATAGATGCAAATGTCCAGTTCTTTTCAGGGGCAAAGCTGCAAACTTCTCTAATATGTAAGAATGTAAGAATGGAGCCCAGTGGGAAGAGGCCAGTGGCCAACCAGATACATGTGGGAAACCTGAGCACAACCACAGTCTCCTTACTGGTACCCAGCAACTGGTACAGGTAAAACACAGTTATCATGGCTAGTAGCTCTTGGTAGCTGTATCCTCTGTGTATTTGTCAAACCATCTTTCCAAGCCTCTGAAAGAGACTATTGTGAATTAGAACATAAGAGTTGTCCTGCTGGATTAGACCAATGCCCCAATGGTTAGGATTGTGCTGTTAGTCAATGAGCATGTTAGTCAATGGAGGAAGTGTCTCACTTTGGATTGATAGAACCATCTGTATTGCTCTGAATTCTTGGATCCATACCTTACACTTCCACCTGGAACAGCCTTGCCTACACCTGTCAGTCTCACTACAGAAGAAGGAGGGTCGCGGTGACTTTTCTCTTCCCCCCCACCCAGCTATGCATCATTTGGAACTTGCTCCGTGGGTTTGTTTGGATCCTGTTGCCCGGCTGCAAGCTGCTTTGCTGTGAGCTCCTTCTCCATCACTCTCTGACACCTCCCAGTGAGATGCTTGTACCCGGCCTTCAGAGGGAGGGAAGGAGGGAGGGAGGGGAAGAGGCAGAGAGTCATCAGCTGCTTACAGCTTTGCAGAGAGCACCGCAAGGCCAGGAAATAAGCAAACTCAGTGAGACCTATCTTTTCTTAAACAAATCAGGCATGGCCCGCTGGTCTAAAACTCTGGAGAGCTGTTGCCAATCATTGTGGACAATAGTGAGCTAGATGGACCAACATCAGACTCATCATGTTCCTTCTTTTGCTTTATTTCTATATGGTAGAATATACCATATGGTACAGAAGGTCCCAGATTCAACTCCCAACATCTCCAGCTAGATGGACCAATGGTCTGACTCATGATGATGATGATGATGATAATGATGATTATTATTTACTTTTATATACCACCTTTAACTTCCAAGGAGCTCAAGGTGGTGTACATCCCCATTTAAGCCTCTCAACAACCTTGCTTAGACTAAGACATGGTGAGGTCACCCAGTGAGCTTCATGGCTGAGTGGGGATTCAAACCCTGGTCTCCCAGATCCTAGTCCAACACTAACCATTATGCCACACTGGCTGCTAATTCCTAGATTCCTAAGTGCCCTTTCCTTTGTCTTATTAGGAATTTGTGGGTGTAAAACAGGACTGGAGAACCTCAGGCCCAGGAGCCCTCCAGGACTCTTTGTCTGGCCCTCAAGACTTTCCCCAGCCACATCGCCTGCTCCCAGGCCGCACCATTTATGGATCAGTCCAAAGGCTCATCTAGTCTGGTATCTGGTTCCCAGAGTGGCCAATGAGAGGAGTTTGTGGAGTTGATCGCCCTGTCCTACTGTTGCTCCCCAATGACATCCTGAATCTTAACATGGAGTTTCCATGTAGCTACTATAGATAATAGTCACAGATAAATAGTGGTGGTGAATTGTGAGGTTCAGGAACTCCACGTGGCAACCTGCAAATCCATGCCCCCAAGGAGAATCCAACAATGCAGGCAATGATCCATTATTACACACACACACACACAGTCACAATGGAAGGACAGCTATCCAGCAATCTAACCCCCATTCATAGAATCATAGAATTGTAGAATTGGAAGGAACCACGAGGGTCATCTAGTCCAACCCCTGCAATGCAGGGATCTTTTGCCCAAGGTGGGGCTCTAACCAACAAACCTGAGATTAAGAATCTCATGCTCTACCAACTGAGCTAGATTAATTAACTTTCTTTGGGTGGGGTAGGGGGGTGAATAAAGCAAATGTGATTTAGGCTACAGCCCTAAATACACACTTACCTGGGAGTAAGACCATTGAATTCAGTGAGCCTTGCCTCTGAATAGATGTGACGAGGATTGTGCCAGATAAAGAATAAAATAGAAGCCTTCCTTTGGAAGAGTGAATCATTCTCTCCCTCTCAACCTCCGTTGCAAGGGAGAGGCAAATGCTTATGTAATGCTAATGCCTGATTCCCATGCCCCGACCTTGGCCTTACCAAAGCCCCATGAGATGTGCCAGCATTCCCTCATATGAATCTGCCATTTCCTCTACAGGGCTCCTGCAACTGAACGGTGTTTTGTCAACAAATTCAGGTATTTTTCCCATGCAAAAAGAGAGAGGAGGGGGGCTCCAGAGGATTCCCAAAGGCATCAACAACTGTGAGCTGGACCAAAGCATCGAAAAGGAAGAGGGAAAGTGAAGAAGAAAGAGCTAGGGTAGCCAGAACTGGTGTGATGGGCACTTTGTTTGTGCCAAAGAGGCTACTGGAGCCGCCATGGAGAAAATGATGCCTCCAGAGGAGGGGTGGCCAGCCCTGTTGGCAGATATGGGTGCTTGAATGAGACACAGTCAGATCTGTTCTCCTGGGCAGCCCTACGCTTAGTGGCAGAGACACAGCTGTGCATGCAAGAGGTCCCAGGTTTGATCCCTGGCATCTCAGCTGCAGGATGGAAAGGACCCATCTGAAACCATGGATAGGAAACACTTTTATTCCAAGACGGAGCATTGGTTTATCTGGCTCAGTATTGACGAGCAGCAGCTCTCCAGGATTTCAGGGTAGGAGAGGGAGAGAAAGAATATAAAAGGAGAAAGAAAAGAGGGAGGGAGGGAGGGAGGGAGGGAGGGAGGGAGGGAGGGAGGGAGGAAGGAAGGAAGGAAGGAAGGAAGGAAGGAAGAAAGAGAAAGAAAGAAAGAAAGAAAGAAAGAAAGAAAGAAAGAAAGAAAGAAAGAAAGAAAGAAAGAAAGAAAGAAAGAAAGAGGCAGACATGAACTGCAGAAAATAGATAGCTTGGTAAATGGTTGCCCAACAAGGTTAGATCTCTGTTTCCACAATTCTGGTCAGTTACTGTCAAGGAATCCCACCACACCCCCTGCAAGATTTGTTATTAATCATCCCACCGCAATCGAGTGAGCATAACGTGGGAGGCAGAGCAGAGGGCCCTTTTGCAGCAGGGCAGTGCCGTTGTTTAGTCCCGAATCTCTTTCACAGATGATAAAGAGAAAGCTTCTTCCCAAACAGGAAGCCTGTTTTATCGCCATGAGCTGATAGCCAGGAGGGAGGCCGCAGCTGCCACAGCACCGCCTGCCTGGGAACTGAGGGAGAGCCCAGGCTACAACATCAGCTGGAAACCCCACCCAGGGAACTGCAGCCTGCGCTGCCTGATCCATCCCTCCCCGACATTTTGCAAGGGCATTGCAGAGAACTTGAAGCATCTTTAGTCTCACACCAAGGATCTTTCCCTGAAGCCCTTGCCACCACCCCTTCCCAAAAGCACCAGTTCAAAACTGCTCCAGCTTCTTCCGAGGGAGAAACTGAGTCGGGTGTGTTCCCTCTATTTCCAATGTTCAATGTGAGGGACAATGGCTTATGCAGCCAATATGGTATCACCCACCGCAGTAGGGAAGTAGCAGCAGCATCAGGGGAACACCAAGGTTTGCAGGTAGGTAGAGAGAGAGAGAGAATTGGGGGGATCCTAAGACATGAACCCCACAAAAAGCAAGACTCATTGTGTTCAGTGGCCATGAGACAAGGGTGCCAGCTTGAATAAAATATCATGGGGCAGATAAGCCCCCATTACAAGATGTGACAGACAGACACCACTTGAATGGCAATGCCTATCATCTTTTGGGAGGCCCAGCCCCCTCAAATACTTTATGGGGGGGGGAGGGACCTCAGCTCCTAGGAATTCTCTACTAACTTTTGGGGGAAGGGGTTAGGCAAACTCGTTGGGATGGAGATGGAATGGAGTTTTGTGGTGGAAGGCAAGCTGGCTGGCTGGCTGGCTGGCTGACTGGCTGAATCACTGAGCTGCAACATTTTCCTGCTGGTCCCATTTGCCGGTTTGCTGGTGACACTTCAACCCGTATCCTCAGATGACGTTGGTCCCTGGTTTTGTGTATATGTTAAATGGGGTGGGGTGGGGGCTGTGATGGAATCCTCAAACATACCTGCCGCCAGGCAGAGCAATAGTCCCCCATCATTGGCTTCTGGAAATGGCAACCCAGCGAAGAACACAATCTCTGGTTCCTGCCTCACAAATGAATCCAGAAGGATGCAGCAGCTGATGGTACTGAAAGCTGCTGAGAAATCCAGGAGAATTAACAGGATCACACTCCCACCCCCCAGAATAGTGACAGGCTATTCAGGGGGAGGACGCGGGTGGTGCTGTGGGTTAAACCACAGAGCCTAGGACTTGCTGATCAGAAGGTAGGCGGTTCAAATCCCCGTGACGGGGTGAGCTCCCGTTGCTCGATCCCTGCTCCTGCTCCTGCCAACCTAGCAGTTCGAAAGCACGTCAAAGCGCAAGTATATAAATAGGTACCACTCCGGCGGAAAGGTAAATGGCGTTTCCGTGCGCTGCTCTGGTTCGCCAGAAAGCGGCTTAGTCATGCTGGCTACATGACCCGGAAGCTGTACGCCAGCTCTCTCGGCCAATAAAGCGAGATGAGCGCCACAACCCCAGAGTCGGTCACGACTGGACTTAATGGTCAGGGGTCCCTTTACCTTTACTAGAAGCACTTTCTTTCTTTCTTTCTTTCTTTCTTTCTTTCTTTCTTTCTTTCTTTCTTTCTTTCTCTCTCTCTCTCTCTCTCTCCCCCCCCCACACACAAACAGTGGAAGCTGGTCAATTGGGGGAAATGTGGCACTTGCCCATCAACTTCAAACTTCCCCCACCTACTGGCTTACATTCAGACCAGAGGGTGGTACTGGCTGTCAGATTCCAACTCCTTAGCCTCAGTGAACAACTCAGCAGGGAAATGGATGAGTGCAAAAGTAGAATAATTTGGTCCTACCTGTCATTGGCTCTGTTTCCACCTCCTGTTGGACCTACCATTCTCAGTGAGCACCGGCCACCACTGTATCCAGACACACAGTTGATCAACACCTAGACAGAGCTGTCGCCAAAGACTCCTGAGCAAGATGAACAATCATGGAACAAGAGGAGCGGTCCTCTTGCAGTTAAGAAACAAGAAGCAGAAAGCAGGAATGGACGGACTGTTCTCCCAACGGAAGGATGTAGAAAGTGGAATCTCCCACAGATCACTTTTGGGACCTGTGCTTTTTAACACGTTCATAAGAGTTAGGGGTGAGCCGCGAGGAAGACATGTTTGCTGATATATATCCAATTCTTCAGGGTGGTTTAAACAAAAAAGGGATTGCAAGCTGCTGCAAAAGTAGTTTCTCCAGTTTCTCCAGACTGGGGCAGTGGGCAGAAAAAAATGGCAAGTGCAATTCAATGTAAGCAATGTAAACAAGTGTAAAGTGATGCATATTGGAGCAATCTCTCTCTCTCTCTCTCTCTCTCTCCTCGTAATTTCATGTATACTTTCATGGGGTTCTAAAACATGGGTAGACAAGCTAAGGCCCGGGGGCTGTATCTGGCCCAATCGCCTTCTAAATCTGGCCCGCGGACAATCCAGGAATCAGCATGTTTTTACATGAGTAGAATGTGTACTTTTATTTAAAATGCATCTCTGGGTTATTTGTGGGGCATAGGAATTCGTTCACTATTTTTTCCCCAAAATATAGTCTGGCCGCCCACAAGGTCTGAGAGACAGTGGCCCGCTCCCCTGCTGAAAAACTTTGCTGACCCCTGGTCTAAAACAATGGTGACTGACCAGGAATGGGTCCTTGGGACCTTAGCCGAGAGCTCAATGAAGTTGTCGACTTGGTGTGCAGCAGCAGCTGTGGAAAAGGTGAATGCCACCCTGGGATTCTTAGGAACTCGCTGGTATCATAACGCTGTTGTACATTCCTGCATTTCAGGAATGACCCTTGGGGTCCCTTCCAACTTCACAGTTCCATGATTCTAAGATCTCTACAATGCATTCACTCAGCAAATTATGACTGTGCCAGGGATTTCTCCGTATTCCGGGTTGTGTTCTTTAACTGGGTGCCCTGAAAGGTTAGACTAGATAGTAGAGAGCAAGAGAGTCTCCTTTGGAAAATTTTTGTTCCCATCTCATGGTTCCTCGATGTCTTCCTTGATCGCCACACCCTCCTTTGGGCCAGCCTCTGAGCACAGATGCCCACAGATATACTCTGCTCTTCTTCCTTTCCTCTTCCCTTCTCAGCCGCTTAGCACATCCTGCATGATTAAAGATGCTCCATCCTGGTCACCCATCTTTTCATTTCCAAGAGTAGTTTATGAAGGCTTTCCACATCAAAGAAAAACAAGCAAAGAAACAATAAAGACAACAGATCGCAGAGTGCCTTTGCGCCCCCCCCCCATGTGTGTGTCTATAGGGGTGCCCTCCCTGGAAAGGAAAGATACAGACCTTACCCACCCTCCCAGCGACAGGGAGGGTCCGGACAGGCTTTCTATTTTATCCCAAAGAAAACAAGTAGCTCTGTTCCAGATCTATAAATAGGCAGCTCAACAGGGCGAGGCGAGTCTTGGAAGAGCAATCAGGGATTTGTACCAGGATTCCTGATAAGCCTCAGCCCTGTGTATTGTCTGCAACAAAAAGTTGCAGTATGGAGTGCTTCTGTTTAGAGTTCGAGCCGGTCCTGTTCCAGAATACTCCATTCTGCAATGTCTTCAAATTCACATCCACACCATCAGGAACAACCCAGGATCTTTTGCCACCTGAGGCAAAACTGATGCCCTCGCAGCCCTCCTTTTCCGTAGCCCCCGCCCCCCACCACCTGAGGCGACTGGAGGTGGCCCAGGGAGTGAAAACGAGGCCAGAGAGGGGCAGGTGGTGGGCAGGCAGGTGGGCATCATCATCAGAGGCA